ATCTTTGGCTTCCTGCTCCTTTTATCTGTCTCTGAAGGTGGCCTTCCTGACTACAATCACCTCCACAAGACTCGATGAGCTCGGCGCCCTTATGGCAGACCCTCCAGACAAGGTCTTTCATAAGGATAAGGTTTCTTTGAGGTTACACTCCAAGTTCATTCCCAGCATTTCCTCTGAACTCCTCTTGACTCAGGTCATATACCTACCTGTTTTCTACCTCACAGCACCAAAGAAGACAGGAAGCTCCATTCTCTGTATGTCTGCTGTGCCTTAGTTTTCTACCTGCAAAGGAGAAAATCCTTCAGGAAATCTCTGAGATTCTTTGTTTCCATTACTGAGGGGACAGAAGGGGAAGCAATCTCCTCACAGAGGCTTTGTAAATGGATCCCAGATTGCTTCCTGCTCTGCTATGAGCTGATGGAGACTCTCCCTCCCCCCCCAAGAGGCGGAGGGCTCACTTGGCTAGAGCTAAGGCTACCTCAGGGGCTTCTCTTCAGGGTGTTCCCCTCCTGGATATTAGAGTCTGGTACAAGCATATTCTTCAGCGTGGTATATGGTTCCTGCAGTCTGTGGTGCAGCATGGTTCCTTGCACCCTCCTCCTCTATGAATACTGATTGTGAGTCATCCTCAGTGGAATACCCCATCGGGACCACCACTCAAAGAAGAAAGGAAGGTTATTTACCTTGGAGTAACTGGAGTTCTCTGAGATGTATGGTCCCTATGGGTATTTCGCTGCCTACCCTCCTTCTCCTTGGCTTCAGAGCCTTTCCTCAGGTGATTCACAGTAGAGAAGGAATTGGAGAGGTGGTCAGGCTATGCCATCCCTTATGCCCTTGGGTCAGAGCATGAGGTGACAAAGGCATGGACAGTCTCAGTGCATGAAGCCCATAAACACCCACAGTGGTATACCCATGGGGATCACACATCTCAAAGAATTCCAGGTACTGTAAAGTAAGTAACCTTCCTTTCTCCAAAAGGAAAAGTTTGAGTTAAATAGGTGTTACTAAAACACACAATGTTTAGAAAATCTACTCACATTTCAGTCCCCTATGACAGTGGTTCTCAACCTTTCCAGACTACTTGTACCCCTTTCAGGATTCTGATTTGTGTTGTGTACCCCAAGTTTCACTTCACTTAAACGACTTGATTACAGAATTAGACATAAAAATACAAAGGTGTCACAGAACATTATTACTGCAAAATTGCTGACTTTCTCATTTTTACCATATAATTATAAAATAAATCAACAGGAATATAAATATTGTACTTACATGTCAGTGTATATATAGAGAGCAGTACAAACAAGTCATTGTCTGTGTGAAATTGTAGTTTGTACTGACTTTGCTAGTGCTTTTTATGTAGCCTGTTGTAAAACTAGGCAAATATTTAGATGAGCTGAAGTACCCCCAGGAGTACATAGACCCCTGGTTGAGAACTGCTGCCCTATGATATCAGAAACCCACCTTGTTCTCTGGAGGATTTTCAATCAATAACAGGAGGCCAACGACTAATATTTCTAGTTTAAAACAAAAGAAACATAAGCCACCAAACATTTTTTAGCAACCCCCAAACCATCAGACCTTTTTTCACATCATAATGCAGCAGCAAAGGACAGGAATGTTTATTTTCCTTTTACAGTCACCTTTGAGTATTATTAGTGCCAGGGTGTGGGGCTGCATCTCTTCCAGAACTACTGGCCAGCTGTGTTTCATGGATGACATAACGGAGTGTGTTATTGGGACTATTTTTGATGCTGTTTGCGAGGAGGTTTGGAAAAGGAATTGCATTAGTAGGCTGGTGACTCAAGGCTTACACCAAATGCCATACTAAACAGCGTGAAGGGAAAAAAGGGCATCTAACACCTTGAGTATCACATATGTCTGAGATGAAGACAATAAGCAGGACATGGAGCAAACTGGAGAGCAGCAGCAATTAAGAAAACCAACAGCAGCAAAATGACCAAAGCAGCAGCTTATGGACATACAGAAAGGAGTAGCTTTCCCTCCGCAAGTGGTCCAAAGACTTATGGGTTACAAAATCTAATGGTGGAGAAATTAAATAAAATTGTGAACAATTACAGAACGTGTACATGGCATTTTACAAAGCAACTGTCACATGTACGCTTTCTGTGCCACCCATTGAACAGAATGGCTGACACTTGTATACACACTTTTGAGGATGTTTGGCATCAGGGCCCAGTTATATTTTCCAGTTAAGCTACTGATTTTACTGGTTTGTTTTGATATCCGACACGGAGGCCTGCAGACCACATTGTTGTTTCCTTGCTATTTGTAAAGCACTAACAGGGTGCTCAGCAGTGTCCAGAGATCTATACAACCAGATTCTCACAAATAAGAGGTTTTTTCAGAATCAGACCATTTTCTAGATGTTTCATGGCAACAGTGCATAAATTAAGAAGTTGCTGACTTGCTGTGGCATCTAAGTTCCCTCTAAGCTGCGTGGCCACACAGCAGGCTATCAAGGACCTCACAGGCAGGGAGAAGCGCCTCTCCCCTGGTCCCAGAGCTGCTGTGACAAGGGCCGGGGGGAGTTCTCTCTCCCCGCTGCAGCCTGCACCCCAAACCCCTCATCCCAGCCTCACCCCAGAGCCCACACCCTGAGCCAGAGCCCTCACCCCAACCCTCTGTCCCGGCCCTGAGCCCCCTCCCCACACTCCGAACCCCGTGACCCCACCCCTGCCACACATCATCTCCATACTGGTGCACATAACAAAATTAATTCCGCACATGGACGTAAAAAATTAGAGGGAACATCGTGTCATCTGCAGCAAATTTTACATCACTGCCTTAGTTTCTGCAGCTGTAGTAAAATGGAGAGAATACTCAAGACACCTGCCTCACTTGTGCTGCAAGGAGCAATACTGGAAAGTACTTAGAAGATGGGAAGTGTTGTGTATGCGCATGTGTGCCACACTTAGAGAGACAGAACAAATTGCGGAACCACAGGATATATTGCATCTTTGATATAGTACCTTAATAGCAGGACTGTCCAACTGTCCAGACCTTTATGGGAGAGAAAACATTTACAGTACCTACCTTCTAAAAAAAGACCTAACAAAATGTAAGCTCTGGTATCTTGTGACCTACCCAGAGGTATAAGCTTCCAGCATCTAGCTCCGCACAGCTGTGGGATATCGATCATTCAACTCATCATTGGTCTAGGACTGAATATTGCCCATCCTGGATCTCAAGCCAGTGTAATTCGAGAGAGGAGGTAATACTTGTGTGTCAAGTTGATTTAAGGAAATATGGCAGCTGTTTGAAGCTGCTCGAGGGAATGTCAGATACCCAGGGGTGATGGAATAGTGGGCAGAGATCAGGGTTGCGTCAAGGTGCATGATAAGGGATCTTATTACAGTGCTCCCCAATTTAGCAAATGGATCTCTCCACTACGGTGGAGAAGCAGTGTGTATTATATGGCTTTTGGCTTGCAAGTGTCTTGACAATCTAGGAAAGAGCCCAGGACCTCGGGGCCTGATTCCCCCTTGCCTTGAACTTTGTGTTGTCATTAGCACTTGTGCAAAGCAGTTGTAAAATACTACCATTGGTGTGAGAAAGGGGGGAATTTTGATTTGGCAGTGTTTTGCTCACAAGTACACAAGGTATAAAGCAATGGAGAACTGGGCCCATTAAGCTGCCTTTACTTGCATGTACCCTGCCAATAAATCTTTTGCCAAATCTGAATCATTAATTGTTCCTCATTTCAAAGGGACTCCATTCCCACACAATGGTCAGAGGGCTTGAGTCCAACCATTGCTATGTTTCAAATATAAGTCAAAGTGGGCTGCACTCTACAATATGGATACCAATACAAGACCACCTGGCCTTAGGTAATGCAACAAGAGAGAACAATAAGCAGCTTGCTGCCAACAGGCAGCAATTAATATTGACAGGAGCCTGAGCCACTCTTATTCACCAGTGCTTACACACAAACTTTGGCTGAATAAATTCTCTACATGTACAATAATGTTTTCAAAGCCCCGAAGGAAGCATTCAAAAAACCCTTTGGGTAAATTACCTAACCATCCACTACATGGGGAGGATGCCACAGGAGGCTCTCAAACAGAACTACGAGTGGACTATTAACATTCAAAGCAGCCAGCAGGAATCACACCCTGCTTCAGGATTCCAAGATCTAGGCCTGCTGTAGCATGCTCCCTGTGGAATGGTGTAACGACTACTCAAGCCAGGTACAGGTGTGCTTTTCACCCTCCGTGGCATTTTCTGGTTAAAGTAACAAGCCCATGTTTGGGCCTGATTGTGGGTCCTGATTTCTTTCCTCAGGTCGCTACAAGCCAAAAGCAGGGAAGGGTTCCTCACTTTTAAGACTAATCACGAAGCAGCCATTCAGGTCATTACATATTTGTGGCTTACCCAGCACCGTTCATCTAGAGAGCTCAAAGCACTGTACAAAGGTGAGTAAAGTATCATTACCCCGATTTTAGAGACTGAGAAACCATGGCCCAGAGAGGTGCACTGACCTGCCAAAGGTCACCCAGCAGGCAAGTGAAAGAGCTAGGAATAGAGCCCAGCTGTCTATGTCCCAGAGCAGAGCTCTTCCAGCACCAGTACACTGCCTCCCTTCCAGAGCTGCGTGGTGTTTGCAATAGAGTGAGAACGTCCTGTTGCCTTTGGAGCAGTTTTCTGAGCACAATCCCAAAGGGCTATGTGGTTTTAGTCATGAAACACTGCACTCACAAATGCTCTCAGAATGAAGGCAGCTGAGCCAACACACCAAGCTCAATGGACACTTCAGCCTCCCTTCCAAGATAGAGAACTACAGTCTTCCAGCTAAAGGCAGCAGCAAACAATCTGACTGGCATGTTAAAGGCTCCCATCACCTCACATTCATCTCTTGATGCAAAACCAAAGGATGCCAAGGTTTCGATAGAATTGCTCTGGGGTAAATGTCCCGGATTAGCGTCACTACGTGGGGGGTTAGAGCAGGGCCTGTACAACAATAATGACACAGACACATGGAACTGGAACAGTTATTCATTTACAGCCCCACAAATTAGTAAGACCATAAAAATAGGAGCCTCAAGGAAAGAGATGCTGACTAGAACTGAAAGGGAAACTTCCTTGCCACGCAAACCATGTTAATTACAACAACAGGCAGATTTAATAAGCCTGTTCCTGGTTCCATATTTTCACCTACAAAATATACATGTTTCCAGGGCTGGGGAATATTGTAAATATCTGCCAGCCATCTAATTGTCCACTTCTCAAGTGGCCTGGAAAGTACGCTACAGGGTTTCTTACACCCAATACCCCTTTGAATTTTTTCGAAAAAGATCAGGTGGAGGAATCGCTCCTCTTTGAGGCTGAATCTAGTTACAGGAATGAAGCACATGTTTCAGTACAGATGGAGGTGCTATGGGGATAAAGGAAGGGTAAATTTTCTTCTCCAAACAATCCGAATAGGGAGCTCCTTTATTCCTGGCTGTACTGTTTCAATGCACAGTTCTGGCAGCTGAGACGGCAAAAAGTCAGGCAACAAAGCGGTCTGTTCCAAGGGACTGCCAATCAGGCGTGCTGGAAGCGCAGCGTTGTGCTGAATGTGTGAACGAGAAGGGGAGGAAAGGGAGTTTGGAGCCACTATAGCTTGAGCTCCCGGTCAGGTTTCATGGTGAAGGGTTCCAGCCTCTCGCTTTCAGGCAGCATGCTGTTTAGCTTCTCCATGAGAGGGACCGTCTGGTCAATGCCCATCTGTATGCGGCGGAGGATCGCAGACATTTCGTTGACCTTTTGGATCTGCTCTGCATACTTGGCGTACCTTTTCTGGCGCTCCTGCATGAAGCTATAGAGAGTTTCCACTGAGAGGTCCATCTGTTTAAAAACAAAACAGGGAGGGCCACGTTAGGCTAGAGTTTCCAAATGCCTTTCAGTGGGGCACATGACTCTTACCAGTGATCAAGTGTATTTGTCAGTCTGCCAGATCTACCAGTAGCTAAAAAAGGCGCTTCTCTAGCAGCTCTATCTTGCCCATCTCTACAATTAGATATAATATGTACCTACCGACCATGGAAGTGGTATGAATCAGTTAGTGCTGGAATAGCACTCTGCATTTATATCGCTTATTTCATCTTCAAAGTAATTCACAATGCATCATCTGTTCCCAGCTTTCTAATCTACAATTTTAAAACCTATTAAGTGTTCCAGCTGTTAGTCATTTCTGATGAATGCATGACAGGATAATTCCTTTTTTTTTTTTTAAAGGATTTTGAATATTGACAGATCTAGTGTATACATCTCTCTCAGTCACAGCAGTTGGGAGTATTTACATTCCAAACCCTCAGGAACCATCTAAGACCCCAAATACCCAAGCTTGCAACGGCTCAGTCATATGATCACACACTTGCACACACTTCAGTTTGCTGACTATTCAAACTCTGGTATTTCCAAGCACTTGGGCACAGGTCATGTCTCTGGCACGCAACATTGGTAAGTGGGAGTCCTCAATCATCAGTTGAAGTAGGATAAATATACAGAATTGTGAAAGTACTACATTCAGTCTCCGCAGAAAACTACCTCCTCAGTCACGAATGAAGAAATGCTAGGTGGTGGCTACCAGATGAAGGGGAGAAAGCGGGCATGATGGCTTCACTTTAGCCCACAGGCCTTCTGCTCTCATTGTCACCAGTTCAAGTTACCATTGTGGCACTTGAATTGGCAACATCACTGCAGTGAATTTCAGGAATCCAGTCACACTATTGTAATATGGGGAGGAAAAAAAGCATTTTTGATCATGGAACTCCTTTCCTATTTCCTCAACCAGCACCGCTTTCTGTTGTTCTGCTGGTGTGAACAGGCTTGACCAAGATTGCTTATTTTAACTAATAGTGGACATTAACTAATAGTGTTAGATTGAAGGTGCTGACCCCAGTAACTGGAAGCTCAACAGTGACTTACAAACTAGCTAGCTTTGCTGATCATTTCTGCACTTTACACTTTTCCACACAGCACTCACTAAACAACTGGGTTCTGTCCCAACATGCACTAGGGAAGGATACTCTGGGAGCAGACTCTTTAGCTGCTCCAAAGTCCTGCTTGTGAATCGGGAGGGGATGTCCCCAAGACAATAGAGAGGAGGAGTGAGCCAAGGTTTTGTTGAATGACCGTTGAATTCAGTTGATGCAGTCCACATCAGCAACGTCTGGCAAGAGCTCAGGAAGAAAAACAGCCGGGAAGGAATCAAGGCAAAAGTAGTCAGGAAATAATATTTTGCTAAGGAACTGAAGTTACAAGTAGTATTAAAATAATATATGTCTGTTTAATTGCCCTGCAGATTTAGGAGCATTTTTTCTATCACCTCCACCAGTGCCAGATACAGTATCAATTAACCTTTAATTCTTTCTAGCCTGCTTTCTGTCACTCTCAGGCTGAAATCCTTACTTTCCCCTCTGTTCTTTCCTGTGGATTCCTCCCGCTACCCTTTCACACATGGGACAAAATAAAAGCCAGCAGAGCAGGAAACTCCAAATCGTGTGGAAACAATTTAAGCCTGCTTAGGGGTTTCCATTAAAACTTCAGCTTAATACTTTGATGCTAGTTCTGTAAATTGTAGTGTGTAAAAGCAGATCACCACCAGGTCGGCTTGGCATGGAAGTAAATTCAATCCAGTGCCTAAAAATGAGCCACCTAATGAGAGAGTGCTGTGGTATGGTAGGCAGTTGGAATCCTTTCAAAAGTCAGCATGCCTCATTAAACAGAGCAACACGGAGGCTGAAGTAGAAATCTCCCCTGGTTTTAAAGTTTTCCTCAAGATACATTCTTCACATGGCCTCAAAACCCAAAGCAATAGGCAAAGCTCATCTTTACAAAAGGTTTGAACATAATAAACAATCAAATAATCAGAATTAGCAGCTTCTATATAGCACACTTTATTAATAGATCTCTGGGCACTTTGTGAATGTGAGTAAGAATCATTATCCCCATTTAGGGAAGTGGAGGCACAAAAAGTTTCCACTTGACCTGCAAAGAGGAAAAAATAATGGGCTTGTGCTACTTTGGATGTGCACACAAAGGCTAAAAAAGAGCCAGCCCCTCCCCCCCCCCCCCCCCCCCAGCCCTCAAAAAAGGTGGGTGAGGTCACTTGGGATGGTTGGTTTTTTTCCACATTAGTAATTCAGGTTTTGTCTGCTCTGGAAGACTATGGCAACTGCAGAGCTGGCGATCTCACAAGAAGGGTGAAATTTGCGCGTCTGATTGAGGGGAGATGGGATTTTTGATCAGACTGTTTCAAAAATAATGTTTTGTGTTAGCATCTGTTTATAATGCCAGCGCCTATCTGTGTATTTGGGCCTGTCATTGTTACAGAGCCAGCTGCACCTCTGAAGTCAATGGGTGTCTTTTCCTTTACCTTAATGGGCTTTCAGGTCTTAAGCAACATGCCCAAGGACAAATAAGAAGTCTGCATCAGAGTCCAGAACTAAACACAGACTTCCCAAGTTCCAGTCCAGAGTGTGAGCAACACTACAGTCCTTCTTAATTTGGACTTGAGGAAGAGGAAGTGTTTATCAGTTAGGGTGCAAGAACTCAAAATACACATCCTCCAAGACTTCCTCCCTTCCCTCCTCCTGTCCAAAAGAATTCCTCCTGCTAAATTTAGGCTTCCCTGATTTTGCATTTTTATAGTAAAACAGGATTTTTCCCCCACCCCCACATAAAAAAGTTAAGTCTTAACAGTGTAACACAGTAAAAACAAGTACAAGCCCAATGTTTTTTAAATATGTTCTTTTGCAAGTGAATGGCAGAGTCAGCAATAGAATCTGGGTCTGCTGGTTTCTAATCCAGTGCCCTAGTCACTTGGCCAGTAATGTCGAGAGAACATTTCATGCACCTAAGAAGTAAACAGGCAGTGTGTTTACAGTCATGAAAACTGGATCTCAGCCAACTGTGGTTGAAACACTGCAGAGGACTTTGGAGGCGAGAAACTTCTTCAGACAGGAGATTAACTTTGTTAAGTTTAGGCTCCAGAAAACGGGGTATGATTTTGTTTTATTCTTACTTCTATCATTTGAATCTTGAATCTTGAATCTTTGATAACAAATGTATTCTGATTTTCACTCTAAATATATCTAAGTGCCGTGATATTAAGCAAGATGCTAATCCTGAGCTGAATCATTCAATCTGGTGTGCATTGTTCCTTTGAGGCCAGCAGACCTGATATTACTGTGAGCATTCAGTGGAGAATGGACTGAACACACTATAAGGGAATGTTTCAAAAGGGACTTGGGTGTCTTTGTTGGTAACCGGAAAGGCAAAGTAAGGGCTGGTAAGGGCTGGCAGAGCTCAAAGGAGAGTGCCTGGGTGGCTGACGGTGCTGGTGCTGGAAACTGACACCCAGTTAAGCACAAGAGTCCCTCATGATGAGGCAGGGGCGTAACAAGGTAACATGCAGTCCTGGGTACCCCAAGAGCTGATGGGGAAAGCATTACAAGTGTTTAATGATATGGATGTAAGTGAAGCTATATGAAATGTGATGTTTTTAAATTATTTCCATTAAAAAGGTTTCAAATTACACCAGAGGCTTATCGCCTCATATTGAGGAACCTTAAAATGCTTGATATATTAAGTCAAGGAGAATATGTGCATTAAATGGTGGATTATTTGAAAAAAACAGATTAAGAATAAAGGGGCAAACACCCGTGACAAATCAGTGGATTTAATAGCTCAAGAGCAGTTCTCTGAGATTTGCACTGAAGAAGTGTGAATTGCTGTGTGGCAGAAAACTCCTATATCAGTAGAAGCAGCTGCAGAAACAGCTGACTTATACATACAAGCAAGGCAATGCAAGGAGCACAAGCCCCAAGGAGAAGGACAAAGATTTGGAGTAAAAGTGGGTCCCTGGTTTGTCCGTAGGAATAAGGAAGAGGGGAAGTAAAGTCCACCCAACCCCAGTACCACTCTCCTCCAAGGACCCCAGCCCAAGAAGATGGTCCCTGAAAGTGTTACCATGTGCTTCCCCGATCACATGAAAAGGGAGCGTCCTATGAATGATAGTTCCAAAGTCACTCAACAATCTGTTCGGGTTAATATATCTATCCTGGAGTCAGAAATTTCAGTGGTGGCAGAGGGAGCTCTGGTTAACTCTGTCAGGTCTGACCTCTCGGAGGAGGACAAAGAGTTCATTAAAATGGCCAAAGTAAATGGCAAAGTCTGTCAAGGCTAACAAAACACTCGTGCTCAGATCTCCCTAATCAGGAGAGATGTGGTTCAGGAAAGCAACATGCTCTCTGGGGAAGAAGTGAACCTGCTACTGTTAGGTCAGGTTAAAATGACAATGCCTTTAACATGCATTCTACTGGAACGGGAAGGTTTAAGGGGTAACTTAAAAGTGGGAGTTCTTGAGAATTTACTAGCTGATGTGCTGGTTGGTAATGATATGCTCTCACTGCTCAAAGCTGTTACTATTGTGACACGTAGTAAAAAGGAATATGTCTCTCAGCTCCCAGACGTGAACACTGAGGAAGGAAAGGTGGATTCTCTCTATCAGCAGACAACAGTTTTGTGTCTCAAGGTGCAGAAGGAGGGGGAGCCTTTCTCCTTATTTGTGGCCAGACCTCCTTGCAAGCAAAAGCGAATCAGTTTTTGATGTTGAACAGGAAGCAGACTCTCCCTAGAAAGCATAAAAGGAACCATATTCATCAAGCCCCAAATCAAGAAAACAGGGGAAAGGTTTTTTGTACACGAGGGAAAGGATGTACAGAAAAGCACCTTTAGGGAAAAACAGAAGGCCTGGGGAGCCCTACAAACAACTGACTGTGCCACTAAGCATTGTGGGGAGTTAGTGTTACTAACCCATGACTCCCCTGGTGCAAGTCACT